CTTGGACTGTGGAAAAGAATATGATCCACAGGGTGTTGTGACTGCTTATATTATTAGAAGAACCATGTGTTTCTTAATAGTTATAGTTATAGTGATTTTGGGATCACATAGACTCCAGTAATTTGTACATGACAATCTGAGGTAGTCATATCCATTGATAATAGCTTGCGGAGTACTACCATGGGTTCTACTCCTTTCGTCTCCTGCTTCCACTTCCCATACAACAGAAGTTCTTTTAGCTCATTCCCCCATAGCCTCTCTTTTATATGTCATCAACTTCCTTATGTGTCTGTGCTGAACATATGAAGTATGTCAATGCTGCCTGAATTATCTTAAACTCTCCCTCGGGAACTCTTGATAATAAGATAAGTTACTGAACTAGCTAAAATTTTCCGGGTGATGCTATATCCCTAGTATCAGAGGGGTAGCCATGTTAGTCTGGATCTGTAAAAGCAGCAAGGAGTCCTGTGGCACCTTATAGACTAACAGACCTATTGGAGCATGAGCTTTCGTGGGTGAATACCCTGATGCATCCGACAAAGTGGGTATTCACCCACGAAAGCTCATGCTCCAATACGTCTGTTAGTCTATAAGGTGCCACAGGACTCTTTGCTGCTATATCCCTAGTGTCAACAGCTGAACAGATATGCTGGGGAACATACTTCCTTTTGCTGCATGAATGCACTAGTAGAAAAACAGGGTATATGAAGTGCCTGACTTTTAGGCATCATCCCCAAAAGAAGAGAAAGACAAAATTGCAACCCAGGTAGAGAGTGCTAAGTTGGTTGACAGGTGACTATCTGGCTGGATCACCAGGGCCCCAAAGGACTGGATTTGGGCAAAGTCAGGCCCCCAAGAGTTCTTGGGCAATAGGCTTCAGACATCAGGCAAGACATTCATCACAAGCTAGGGCAAGGCTATTGCAAAGTTGCTGAAGCTCCTCAGATCAGGTCAAGTGTGCATGGCTGCTACTGGCATCACATAACCCTGTACAACATGCCACAAGTTGGGCGTTCAGCGACTAAACTGAGAATCACGCCACTGAGTGGTGGGAGGGGTATGCCAGATACCCATTGGAATGAAAAATAATATCCTCAAAGGAGTAATTCCAGCTGGCATTGCTGCCCTTCCGCTAGCTCTTGGTTGAGCAAAGACCAGGGGAGTCAACCCTGAACTAAACCCATTGTGGAGAAAGCATCAGGTGGTTGGCATTGCAATTCAGCTCTGCCTTCCAGCATCTCCTGCAACTGTGCTGGCTTCTAAACATCTTGGTCTTCTGAGCCTTTGGGCCTGAATAATACCACGAAGAGGGGGGCTGTGATCCTAAGCTCAACCTCTGCCTCCTTATTTTTTTTCTGCATAGATGTATATACACCAAAGATTTGGGTTTAATGGTCTCCCTCTTCAAACTTGCTTGTTGGAATATGAGGACAACATACACTGGTATGTCAAACAACCTTGAGGAGGTCAATGACTGTAGGAAGGCTGCCATCCTCAACAGAGAGCTGGAGAAACTTGACATTGACATAGCCTCTCTCTCTCTGAGACTGGACTAAATCTGTAATTTAGTCCAGATGCAGTGTTGCTTCTTTTGGCATGAAGAAAGCAAACAAGATCGTTGTGAGGACAGGGTGGGTTTTGCAGTCAAAAATTCATTCACATCTCTAGTTGAATGTCCCATTGCAACATCAGAATGAATCATATTAATAAAAATATCTACCACAGGTGGATTTACTAACATCATTAGTACATATGTGACAACACTTTTCTTCACCTCTGTAGAGAAGGACTTGTTCTATCAGAAACTCGACTGTGTCATCAGCAAACTACTACCAGGCAAGCAACTCTATCTACTGAGAGACTTCAATGCTAAAGTCAGCTCACATCACGAGATGTGGCTGCTAATCACTGGTCACCATGGAGTGGGAAAAATTAACAACAATGGTCAAAGACTACTGGAGCTCTTAACCCACCAGTGACTGTGCATTACCAACACATGCATTACCAGAAGGTCTCCTGAAGACACCCCTGATCTGGAAACTAGCACCAACTAGATTTAATTGTCACCTGTAGAAAACACCTAAAGCTTGCTCTCCATACTTGCAATTTTCACAGTGGATGCTGCAAAATAAGGCCTTCATTAAGGAAATTCCATCATACCAAACAGAACTGTTGCCCACACATTAACATCAATAACACAAAAGACCAAGGAAGGTGTTTAGTACCAATCTTAGGGAAGCGATTGCACCTACCCTGAATGCTGATGCAGCATAGAAGACATTCAGAATATCCATACAGCTGAAACATTTGCTTTTAGTGAACACACTATAACAACTGGTTTGCAGCATACCCTGAAGAAATATTTCCAGTTATTGAAACAAAATGCACCTCAGATTTCCATCACAACATTCACCCCTCTCCTGAGACATATGCTAACCTCAGAGTGGCCAATTATACTGGCTTGATCTGTGCTAAAGATACAAATGTCCTTTGAGAATGGAGATCTAAGAGGTCTGATTAATGCAATTAAGAAAGCAATAGGTCCTTCATCTATCCCACTCAAATATCTTAATGGAGACATCATCATTGACAGAAGCAAACAAATACAACACTGGTTGGAACACTATCACAAACTCTATTCATGTGAGTCCACTGTTTCTGAAATAGTCCTAATTGTGACCTCGGGGCTCTAGGCCATCAAAGAGCTTGGTATAGAATCATCTATAAAGACAAACCACTTTCTAGCACCAGGAAAGGCTGCAGAAAGAAATGGAATTCCAGCTGAAGTACTGAAAAAAGGACAAGTAGTGCTTAAATATCTGCACAATGTCTTGCTTGCCTGCTGGAGAGAAGGGGGGTACCACAAAACATGACGGATGTCAACTTCATAATGCTGTATAAAAGCAAAGAAGATTGGAGTGATTTTAACTACAGAGGAATCCCTCTCCTGAGTGTTACTGGCAAGGCATTTACATGGGTAATTTTTAAAAGACTGCAACTTCTTGCTGAATGTGCATATCCAGAGAACCAGTGTGGCTTCTGTGCTAGTTGATCTACCATCAACATGATTTTTGCACAAAAGCAATTGCAAGAAAAGTGTCAAGAATAAGGATAACCTCTATACATGACCTTCTTAGATCTTACAAAAGCTTTTGACCTGGTTAACAGAAAGGATCTTTTTCAATTGCTAGAGAGAACTGGTTGCCTCTCAATCCTCCTCAGTCTGATTCAATCTTTCCATAATGGCATGAAGGCTATAGTTCAATATGATGGTGATCAATCTGACAGCTTCGAAATTCACAGTGATGTCGGACCAGGACGTGTTTTGGCACCAACACTCTTCAGTTTATTTTTTTCTTTGCTGCATCATCATGCTTTCTCATCTAGCACCAAGGGTGGACATCTCCATACAAGATCAGATGGAAAACTCTTCAACCTTGCATGTCTACAAGCAAAGTCAAACATCTGCTTATATGAGATGTGCTATTAGTTGATGATACAATGCTCATCACACGTAGTGTTTACAGTTAGTTAGCATATAAACTGAGGAGAATTCTTAGTAAATAAAGTAGTGGTTTTAATAAGCCAGATCCTCAGCACAGCACAATCTGGCTCATTACCTCCCTAAGTATGTGATGATGTGTTAAGATGACACTTTAATACATGATACTAGAACAGCTTATAATTTGACATAGGGACAGGACTCTTTGAATAGTTAAATATAGTTCACACTAAATTATCCCAGCAGGATGTAAAATGCCGAAGGAAAACAGTAGCTTGGTAATTCTGTTTGATTTACCTCCTTTTCCCTAGTCAAAGAGGCCAACGGAAATACTTGAATGAAAAATGCAATATTGGGCCAGATCTTCCTCTGGTGTAAACTGGCACAGCCTCATTGAAGTCAATGCAGCTATGCTGATTTACACCAACTGAGTATATGTCCTAATTTTTTTGCCCACTGTTTTCTGTTTGTTTTATCAATCTCTCTTGAGGCTTTATATATCTGCAATATCACTGTCTAGATAGAGACATATGTGTGGAAGGGGAATTTGTACTCTGAATAATGATGTCAATAGAGCTGATCAGAAAATGGTAAAAAATCTTTCCCACCTAAATGGATTTTGTTTTTCCATTAAAAATGGTTTTCAAAACATTGTTTTGTTTTTGTTTTTAGTAGTTGAAAAGCAATGGAAAATTTCAAACAAAATGGCCATTTTTCATCCAAAAAATATTTTATAGAATGATTTTTAACCTGTTCTTGAGTGTTCTGTCTATAGTTCCTATTACTACAAAAGCTTAGGGCCTCCCAATCTTTAGTGTATTTATCTTCACAGCACCCTTACATTTTATACATGGGGGACTAAGACACAGAGAGGTTAAGTGACTTGATTAAGGTCACAGAGGATGTATATGGCAGTTCAGGGATTTGAACACAGCTCTCCCAATTCTCAGCCAAACACCGTAGCTACTCGACAAACCATCTTCTTCCTCTGTTGTAGCTTTCCTGTGCAGTTTTCATTTCTGCTGTATAGAAAGTCAAAATAAACAAGGAAATGAGAAGTAGGCAAGACTGAATGTGAAAGAAACTCTCAACAATCCATGCATGGAATTAGGAAGCTATGCTGTAATGTTACACTACAGTTAAAAGAGCAATTTCATATGTATTATATTACTTCATATGCTTTCCTGAATCACTACAGAGTATGAATAGCAAACGCTGCTATATATTGGATAAATAAACTATAGATGTGTGCTGGTGTGCAGTGTTGGGAATGTGTGTGTGTGTGTGTTGTTCTAGTATCAGGTTCCAAGAGCAGAAACAAGTTGTGATAGGGATTTCCTTTGGGTGGGAGCACCAGGAAGAAAAGTTGAAAATTTGCTTATTTGATGAAAGGGTTAGTTCATGTGTGCAAGTCAGAATGGAAGAATCCTTTCATGTAAATGAGGCAACAGATTTTACTTGCTGTGTAGTAACATGAACATTGGCATTTTCTTCTCAGATCCTAGGTTTGTTAGTGCCCACCTAATACCAGAGAGTGATAACCCAGAAGATGACAAAATCTATTTCTTCTTCCGTGAAAATGCAATTGATGGAGAGCACTCTGGAAAAGCCACCCATGCCAGAATAGGGCAGATCTGCAAGGTAATATGGTGACTTAATTTTATAAGAATTAATGCCCTCAGTTAAAGCTATAAAAGTGATATTAGCAACTACTCTTTCTTGGCTGTACATTAGTCTATGGTAGCATTGGCAATGTAGTGATGCCGAGGTCTTCCAGAATGACCAATAGTCAAGGGAAAACATCAAAGAGGTACAATAGTCAGTTCTGTTCTGTTTGGAGTAGCACCCCAAATTTACAATGCATCATCCAAAAATAATCAGAACCTCCTGAGTTTTCAAAATGTGGCAGAGAGAAATAGAGTCTTATGCAAGAAACATGGTACTTCCTGCTTCCAGGTGGACCAGATGTTCTGTAGACATTTTCTTTCTTGAGTTATTTTTGACATTTAAAGTTCCTATTCCAGGTAGAACTTCTAAAGGCAAAGGCATATGAAAATGAAAATAATTGGTTAGGCTAAGTTTTATAAATGAACAGTGTCAAGGGTCTCAAATATTTTCCTGAGGGACCTTGAGAAAATATCTATGAATTAAGTGATCACCATGAATTTTGATAGCTTTGGTAAATATAATGTTTAGAGTAGAATTTCACATTATTCCTTAAGGCAGGACTCCAAGTCACTATCTCTGAAAAACGAGATAGCAGCTTGGAAAATTATAGCCCCACCCTTATGGAGATGTTGATCTGCTCCTACTGTCAGCCCTGCTATTAAACATCTGATTCTCCCACCCTAACACCTTTTATACTTTGATCTTGTACAACTTGTGGGGCTACTTTGTTGATATTCGGTAAAGAATAATGAGCTGTTTAAACTTTATTGAGTCTTGGCAACATGTAAGCTTGCACAGAAGCAATCTCTGTCAATCTGCCCAATTACTTTTTCTTTCTTTCTTTCTTTCTTTCTTTCTTTCTTTCTTTCTTTCTTTCTTTCTTTCTTTCTTTCTTTCTTTCTTTTCTTTTCTAATTTAAGGTTTTCTAGGAATAAGTTCTTCTGAAAATGGTATTAAATTCATAGTAATAACCATGACAAATTTAAATAGATTCAATATTGGTATATTTGAAAAATGAGGGGGATTTTATAATTTCCTAAACAATAAAAAGGACAATATGTAAAACCGTGAATTATGATGTTATATTTAGCACACTGTTCCATCAGTTTTTTCATATCAATGCCCATTTCAAACAGCAATATGGTCATGTATTAACATACAGTATTTCTCCTGTTAGAATGACTTTGGTGGACACAGAAGCCTTGTTAATAAATGGACAACTTTCCTTAAAGCACGCCTGATTTGTTCTGTGCCAGGGCCCAATGGCATTGATACTCATTTTGATGAACTACGTAAGTAGCCACAATGGATTTGAATGCAGAATCATTTTCTAGTATTTTCATTACTGAAATGACCATGTGTTTTCTTTTTTTCTTTTTTGTTGTTTTTGTTACAGAGGATGTGTTTCTAATGAACTCAAAAGACCCCAAAAATCCAATAGTCTATGGAGTGTTTACAACTTCCAGGTACAGAATATATCATTTTACTTGTATGGAAACTTGTGTAGCTGGTTGCTTTAAAGAGTTCTCTTTGTTAAAATGTTCTTAAGAAACACAGCGTTTTCTTAACCTTTGAACTGCACAAAGGCAGTGTAAGTTAGAAGTAATGAATTAAATTTCTTTTCTTATGAGCAATGTACATCATTGCCCTGACGCAAGTTTGAAAGAATGTGTCAGTTTCTCAGCCTCTTCCTGCTGAAAAATTGGCTTTAAGGATGGAGGGTGAAATGTCAAATCCCTTGCCAGATAGAGCTGGTAAAGTAATGCAGGAAGAATTTTTTAAAAAATCAGCAAATTTTAGAATTTTGGAAAACTTCTGGATAATCAATAAGCTTTTTAAGAAAAAACAGCGAAGATTTTTTCCACCAGTCTTCAACTGAGTCCAGTACATCCTTGGTGTAAATCCATTGGCTTCATAGGCTCATAGATTCTAAGGCTAGAATAGATCACTGTGGTCATCTAGTCTGATCTCATGCATAACACAGTCCATAGAACTTCCCTCAAATGGGCTTACACCAAGGATGGGATTGTCCCTAGGCTTTTGTCTTATGAAGGACTGAATTTGCCTCTGAGGGAAAAGCCACCTATAACCATGGAGGGAGGCATATGTTTTTAAATGTAAGTTTCTAGGCATCACATAATCCACAAGAATGAGGCTCATGTGGCATCTACTATCCTTGTAGAAACCCCAAGGAAATGCACAGCAGTGCAGTTTCAGTGTGTGTTGTCAAAAGGGGGAAGTGAGGGAGAGAGAGAAAGGGCAAAACTAAAACCAATATGCTGACTATTAGCAAGGGTATATAAAGTGATTAGTTGGCTACAGGATGAGTAATGGGTTACAAACCCTTTTGCATGAAGGTCACCATTATGAAAAACATGTGAGACCTCTTTATTTATACCAATAAATTGCATTTGCAGAATAACAGCTATTACAAATAGATTTCCACCCCTTCTTTATGAAGCAGTTCAATTTCAAAATCAGGGATGGAAAACTGAAAAACACATATTATCTATTAAGAGCCAGATTCAACCATCCTAAGTATTACTCATATAGTAGTAGTACCTACTCTAAGAAAAGTCCCATTGAAATCGGATCTGGATGTATATAAACAATATGTTTTAAGTAGTAGCCAGCAGCCATTCAGTTTAGAAAAACATCTGAGAGATTTGTTTCAGTTAAACTGAACTTTCTAAGGACTGCGTTTGGGTTTGCTGAGACAGCCGTTCAGAGTTTGGAAAATCAATGCATGTAATTAATTAAAGAGCCTTTAATCCCACCATTCTCCTGTGATTAAATTGACAAATCGTTTAAAGAAACTGACTTATTTTTCTTCCCTCTGCCCCATTTTTAGCAACATCTTCAAGGGGTCAGCAGTTTGTATGTACAGCATGACAGACGTAAGGAGGGTGTTCCTTGGTCCATATGCTCACAGAGATGGTCCCAACTATCAATGGGTGCCTTACCAAGGACGTGTACCATATCCGCGGCCAGGAACTGTAAGTGCACTGGGAAATCTGATACTGATTTCACTCATTACATTGTACTTGAACTTAAAACACAAAAGAAGCTGAACGAGTGGGAAAGGCAGGCTAATGTAAGAGCAAACTAGCTGTTGCTGCAAATCCAGAATTCGCTGCCTCGATTTGCAATGTGCAGCTGGCTTGTCAATGAGCCTAATCCTGTAAACCTCAGTCAGGCAAAAACCATGTCGACTTCAGGAGCAGGGATGCAGGATTTTGCTGAGTATTTGTAAAGTAGTTAAGGAATAATGCAGCTTTCCTTTCATAAATCGCATCTCATTAGAGCTTTAAGGTAACAATTTCCACAGTGGACGGGGAAGCCACTGGAATAATCTCCAATTCCAAAAGGCATTTTTTAACTGTTATTCTACTTTCCTGTCTCTTTCTAATGCCTCAGTCACTATGGTGTCCATGAAACTACTATTTATGACTTCCCGTCCACCCCAGTCATTGTCAGATCCCAGAAATGATGCTGAGCTTTGCCTATACATCTGCCTTTTCTCCAGTAGAAAGTGTTAGAGGAAAAGGTTTGGGTTGTACATATCAGGGTAGATCTTCAGCTGGTATAAATTGGCTTAGCTCCATTGAGACGCCTGTGTACACTAGGCTGAGGATCTACCCTATTCAGATATATCTATGCCTCAAATAAACTATAAAGATCCAAGTAAGTACAGTGCAATAAAAAGACAAGACTAGCACATGAGCATTATTCATATGTGGGCATTTCTATGATTCTATGATCATATAGATTGTCCTTTAATTGTTAGTAACCTTTAAACTATCCCTTCTAGCTTGTTCTCAAAACTGGCTTCCATGATAAATGTGTGAAACAATGGTTAAATGATACAGATGTCTGGCCTAACAAAAACTGCTTAAAGAAAAGGATGATTTCTCAGCAAAGGGATTGTATAATTCTCCTCATTCAGTGGATGTGATTTGCTAAGCAATAACCAGATTTCTTCACAGAAAAGTCTCAAGTGCTGCAGTGTTTAGGGGAATATTGTTCCTGAGATGGTGATGAAAGCAATTAAAAATATTGTAGGATGGAATCAAAGATTATTTTAACAGAGTGGATAGTTTTACTCTAGAATTGAGTGGAAAACGATTTTCACATGTTATTAATTTTTTCAAGATTTTGAAAATGTTTCCTATATGAATTGGAATGAAAAGTCAAAAGATTAAAAAAATTCATAAACCAAAAGCCCAGAAAAAAGAATTGCTTTATTCTACTCCCTTTTGGAAAGTTTGAATCAACAGATGATGCCCAGCTCTATCAGTATGAGATAGGTTGCAAAATGTCATTTTCCCTATATGCCTGCTTGATAAGATGGGAGAGAAAAGGGTTAGTCTTGTATTTCACCAGGTAACCCTGGTAGTTCCTAGGTGAAAATCCTCATCCTCATATAGGATCAAATGAATTTGTTGTCTAACTCCACTCATGACAACTCCATCTCAGTCCTGTAGGCTTTTTAATATGTTATTCTGAATGTAATACATTTCTTTTGAACTCATATTTGGTCTTAGGGTTGATTAGCTTCTTTTTAACAGGAATGAATATAGCAATATTAAAAATCAGAAACCATTGGATGTTTTCATGATGAAAATAAATTGTGCTGAAAAATGACACTTTTTCATAATAGTCCTGTTGTAATAGTGGTGAGTAGAGGGACTGCACAACACCCCTGCAATCCTAGTGAAGCTGTCAAAATCTCTCTCTATCTTAGGTACTTATATGGCCCCAAATACATCGTATCTGAGTGCCTTGCAATCTTTAATGTATCAATCCTCACAACACCCCTGTAAGACAGAAAAGTGCTATTATCCCTGTTTTACAGATGGGGAACTAAAATAAAGAGAAGCTAAGCGACTTGCCGAAGGTTACAAAGGAAGCCTTTAGTAAAGCAGTGACTTGAACTGAGATCTCCCAGTGCCTAGGCCAGTGCTCTAACCACAGGAAAACCCATAGGAAAATAGGGCTTAAATGTTACATAGGTCTTGTGCTGTCCTTCTGCTCAGGGGTGAATTTCAGCCTTTGAGCTAGAGTTTCACTAAAGCATGACTAAATACAGATTCCCCAACAAAATCAAAGATTTTGTGGTCAACATTTTCTGTATCCACAGTTTTGAAATTTACCCATTTGAAAACATTACCGAGCATACCTTTAATTCTTTACACTGAAAAGTAAAGAAATATATACATATATATATATTCCTTCTAATTGATTCATATCTTACCCTTAAATAATCGAACTACAAAATCCCAGTGTTCTTTCTGCCTTTGGCCTGCATCCAGCAAGACTCGGAACATTTTCAACTCCCAGTGAGGTCAAAGGGAATTGAGATGTTCAGTACATTGCTAGATTGAGCTCTCTAGATAGGTAGCTCCAGGATGAGACCTAGCATATTTTCTTCACTGATGAAGAAACTTTGACTAGGTGTAGTGAAGTATGGCCCCCCAACCGGCAAATCACAAATACATGCACTAGGGTGACCAGACAGCATGGGTGAAGAATTGGAGGTGGGGTGTAATATATGCCTATATAAGACAAAGCCCTGAATATCTGGACTGTCCCTATAAAAATTGTGGACTACTCAGATGCTTGCTTAAATGTTTTGTTGGACTGGATTGTTGGATCAGGACCTCACAAGTCAGAAGGAGTCTTGCCATTAATCTCTAAGGAGTATCACGCCCTGTCTTTGTCACGTGTACTGCCATTATGAAGTTGGAAGTCTCTGCAAAAAAATCCAACATAAATACACATGTAAAAGTGACAAGACTTTTCCACTGGCCAGGGCCGGCTCCAGGCACCAGCTAAGGAAGCAGGTGCTTGGGACAACCAATACAAAGGGGTGGCACTCCGTCCGCTATTGATTGAGCTGCCACCGAATCGCCGCTAATTGCCTTTTTTTTCCCCCTGCTGCTTGGCAACCCTGCCACTGGCTACAATATTTTTGAGTAATTTCAAATCAGAATTTATTTCTCTAAATCCATACCCTTAAAAAAACTATTTTAAAAAATATCAGTAGGCTTGGGCCAATAATTAATTAAACAAGTTTCACTTCCTTTTCTGAATGTGAATTATTTGAATTTTTTGTGACTCAGTAATTTCTGTAAATAATTGCTGGTCTGTAACCTATCAGGGGAGACTTCATCGTAAGAATTCGGTATTTGAAATTCAGGCTGCATTGATTGTACACAGAGGTTGCATGCTATCCAGTGTTCTGTATCCCGTATTGTAACTCTTAGGGCTAGGTTTTGATTTTAGACAGAGCTCTGAACATGAGGTGGGGCAGAAGCAGCACCACGTCAGGAGTAGCTTGGGGGATGCAGGGTAAAGCAGACATATCTCTGGAAAGCATAATTCCACCATCTCTTCTCCCTTGCTCATGAGGGTTAGAGATTTACTGTGGGTATAGAGCAGCAACAAATTGGTATACTTTCATGCTGTGCTGGCTCAGCTACACTGGCCAGTGAGCAGGGAATATGGATTCATGGCTCCATCCATTTCCTACCCACTTACACTGGGGAAGGAATGAGAAGGAATGGATCCCCATTTATTCTTGCGTGCCCAAGCACTAGGTCCAGGTAACCGACATAGAGGTATAAAGGGGAGATTCTTACTTCCTTTTACTGCTCTGTGCAAGTATGGAGTCCAAGTCATAACCTAGCCCTTGGAATTAGGTTTCTCTAACAAATGCTCATGATTCCAAATCTAAAATTGGCTTTCTGTAAATATTATGCTTAACATGTGTTGTCTTGATGAATTTTGCTACCAGTAAGCTCCCTTGCTAAAATATTGGCAGAAAATAAATACAAACAGGATTGAAGTACAGCTGAAATATAAAAATTGAAATGAATATACATGGATCTTATTTTATTTTTGCAGTATTTGCCCAGCTGCAATTAACAATACTTAGTACTTGTATAGTGATTTTCCTATTCAAAGCACTTTACATACATTATCTAATTAAGCGTTGATTAATGTAAGTAATCAGTATCACACTCTAGTTGGAATATTAATCCAAGCATAAAGAAAACTTTGGAACTGCACCATAGAAACACAAAATTTCAGATTGATTCCAGCAATGCTAAAGATCGTAAAAGGTTTAGTATTAGTAGTAGATTGTATTTTTCTAATTGGAAGTAAAAGAACATATGGATATGAAATAATAATAATTAAAGCTAGAATGTAGAGATAATAAGAATAGGTGACTGTCTTGCTATATTTATGATTATTGTTTATTTGGCTAATTGGGGTTTAATCAATAATTCTTTCTTTCTCTAATATATAATGAAAGAGAATGTTGGAATTTGTTTCCTTGAAAACAGGCAAAAAGTGAAAACCTATCTCTCACTCCCCCCATGCTTCCCACTCCATTGAAGTGTCCCTCCGCTGCAAATAACTGCTCTTTTTGGCCAGATTGATTTCTTTATGTCATTTCTGATGAATTATTAATAATCTGGATCAAGGTGATGGCAAAGACAATTGATTTCTTCTACTGAGAAGCCAGCAAGATCTGGATTTCTGTTTAATTACTTTTTGGTTTCAAAGTTTTCACTTTAAGTGGTGGATATTCTATCAATGTGAATAAAAGATGCATTACCCCAGGCTTTATATCACTGGGGCGTTTATATTTCAAGATCAAATGCGGTGAACATAATCATAAGC